AAAGGGTGCAGACCGGCTTAATTGATACGACAAAGAAGTATAGAAAAATTAAAATTACATTTCCTATTAAAGAGCTTCTTTACATGTGTGTGACTTATTTGTGTTTTCTCTCTCTTTTAAAACTTATTATGGGTTTCTATTATTTTTATACCTTGTGGTGCATTTTAACATCACGATATTGGTACTTTAATGTCTTAAGAAATATTAAAAGTCACCTTATGATTTTCAAAAATATCATTCTCATTTCTTGAATATATTTTTGGAAATTAAATGTTCAATTTACCCTTTTATTAATAAACACAAATTCTATCATATAAAAATATTAAGGAAAAAAACAAAAATTCAACAGAACTCAACAAACAATACTAGATCAACAAGGTTCTTAATTTTAAATCTTTATTTTTAAAATAATTTTACGATGTCAATTTGATGCTTAATAATAAAAGAGTAGGCTGTATTTTGGTTCCAAAACACGGACCCACGTTACCATAATGATATTATATTTAACCCACAAGACCCTTCAATAATTTCCAAACAACAAGATATTAACAAGATATGACATTACGTTAAAACATAAAGCACTAAAATGATAAACCGATTTTATAAATTACCATCCTAAATATTTTCATAAACAACATACGGTGTATAGTTTGAAAAGAGCTTATAACAACTCATATTCATATATGGGTATAGGTCGAGTACGGTACATAATTTCTTATATCAATCAACATACATTACCATTTATGTTTCATAAAAAATGCACTACCATTTATCCTTAAAATTTCCACAATAATTCATTGTATATAAGTTTTGATTTTTTATTTTGGGGTTTTTTATGAAGTTATTTTTTGTTAATTACATAAATATATCTCTTAATTTCAACTTTTTCAATTTATCTTTTTGTTTATAGAAATTGAATTTTGAAACATATTTCAATATCATTGATCTCAATTTATCAGGGGAAAACAATAAAGCAGAAAGTCAAAAGTACCTTTAAACAGCTTCTAAAAAATATTTTAAGAAAATTTGTATGTTTTCTTTCAAAAGAATCAACCGCGGCAAATGAGGAAGAAAATCATGTTTTTATGGTTTTAATGTTTTTATAATAGGAAAAAAATCAGAAATACCATTTAAGATGTAACAAAATATTATGTCACTTCACTAAAATATAAATAATTATCATTTAAATTAAGAAAAAATTACATAATTTACCCTTAAAAGTGCATAGATCTTAATTGTACCTCTAATTCTTGATTAATAAAGAGAAAATAAAAGATCATAATGACATTTAATTATTTAAAATAACATAAATAATAAGCTTTTACAAAACCATGATAATACTTTATCTTTTAAATTTTCCAGGTCATATTTAAGTGCATCTTTATCTTTTTATGGTTCTATGTTTTCAAAGGAAAAAAAAAAGAATGCATAGGATGAAATTGAAAATAAAGAATACTCATATACGTACCCATTAAACAAAAAAAAAAAAAAAAAAAAAAAAAAAAAAGAACACCTATGTAGTTTAAGAGACGGGTAAATTGAGGTAAAAAAGATGCATACTTTGACAGTGCGGCGCCTGCCCTCACTGGCGCCAAAAACTCCTTTTACAATTTGACACAAATATTATAATTTTTTACATCTTTCTCCTTACGTGTTCCCATTCAAAACTTTTTTATCGTCTTTTCTCTATAGTTTTTAAAGAAAATTAATTAGACCTTGAGTTCTGATTTTAATTATATTCTTATTTCCAATTTAAGTCTAAAATAAACCATACAAATTTAAAAGTTTGGATATTAGATTTACCTCTATTAATTACTACATATAGGTTTAATTCAAAAGTTAAATTTAATCACGCTCTTATTGAAAAAATTCCTGACTTCACCACTATTCATTAATCCATCATTTTGTGCTATTGATTTAAAAATTCTACATAGAAAATTAAAACAAATTTTAAGGAGACATTTAGGAAGAATTGCACGATCTGAGAATGGCATCTACTGATGTCACCCACCCTAATCTTCTTCTTTTTTAAAAAAAAAATACCGCCTTAAATAAGGCTCATATTATTAAAGAACAAAAAAGAGTAATAAAGCTACAACAATCTCAAAATCAAGTAAATCTATGTAATCCCTGTACACATACTACTCTAAAGAATTAAGAAAATGAGACCACCACATCTTATTACAATTAATAATTCCAAGATTAATAAACTTATCGGCATATCCATTAGCTTCATGATATACATGAGACAAATAAAAATCCATTCTCATGGACAAAGAAAGAGCCTTGCTCCACTCATTACGCAACCCCGGAACCTGTAAAGACTTAGAGCTCAAAAGACAAATGATCAAAGAGGAATCACTCTCAAGCCACAATTTACGCCAACCATTCTCAAAGGCAATAGAAATTGCATTGATCATAGCTCATAATTCAGCTTCAAAAGCAAAACCATTCCCAAGGAAGACATTAAAACAACCGCAAACAAACCCCCTAGCATTTGTGAAAATACCTCCATAAGCAATCGAACCAGGACTTCTTTAGTTGAACCATTAGTGTTGTCCACCCACCTGGAAGAAGGAGAAATCCAATAAACAGGGAGAATTTTTGGACTTCTAGGAAAATTTTGACGAACATAATAACTTATTAAGAGTACAAATTTCAGAAGCGGAATTATAAGAATAACCGAGTTTGAAAATCTTGGATGATAAGAATAAACGCACAAGCAGCACTTGGACTCACACTATCCCCTTCGAAACGCACCCTGTTCCTTAGATCCCAAATAAACCAACAACCAACCATAAAAGCAAGAAGCCAAAATTTCTTGACTAAAAGACTAAAATTAACTCTTAATACAGAATGCCAAAAATCACCAATGCTACCATTACAAGAAACTTTACGGTGAAAGATCAACATAATTCAATTCCAAAGACCAAGCGAGTAAGGACATTCCAAGAAAAGATGAATAATAGATTCCTCAGCCCTCCCACACAAACTACAAGAGAAATCAAGTTGAATATCAAAAGTCTTGAGAGAGTAACATCCACGGGAAGCTTTTCATATAACAATCTCCAAACAAGAAAAAAGAAACGATGAGGAATAAAAGGTGTCCAGATTTTGCAACTCCAACTAGTTGGAGTACCTCTAGCATGAGAAACTTCATATATATCCTTAGCAGAACAAGGGTATAACAACCTTATCAATCAAACTCCAGCAATCTGGATAAGCAACCTTAAAGAAATCTGGTATATTCTATTTACCATCCACTACAAAATCATTGACCAAAGCCTTAAAAGAAGATTTGAGATAGGCCGGAATTCCAATGGCATCCCAATCTTCTTGTTAAAATATGCTACAATTACAAATATTAAAACCTACTGTGGTGATGATTTTACCTTTACTAAGTTTTGCAAATTTCAAATTTGCTTGAAGTTTTCTCCTTCTCCTTCTATTCTCTTTCTTTTTCTTTTTCTCTCTTATTCTTTCCTTGTACTCATTTTCCCTGTTCCTCACGTTGCCCTCGCTGCTGCCACAACGCGCCAATGTCGTTGTCTTGTTCTGTCGACACTTTGTCGTAAAACTCGAAGATGTATGCTCAAAGGGATGACACAAGTCAAGGAGATCCATAGACAGAGGAGCGTTGTGAGACGTCAAGGAGATATCAGTGCATTAAGATGCCCGAAATTGAAGAACGTCGCTCACTATTTTATTTTATTATTAACATTGCTACTTACTGAGATTTTTTGGACGTGAGAGTACTAAATTGAAAAACTATCAAACATAGTATATTTTCCGCAAAAGAATACTAGAAACAAACAACAAAAGCTGCTAAAAGAGGCGGTATCAGAATTTAGAATCAAAAGAAATAACAATCCAAGCAAAGAATTGCTACCCAACAAAGGAAAGAATAACGCTAATTGCTACATTCCTAGTCTCCCTTTCTTTTTGCCACCCAAATTCGCCACTCAATAAACCGGCTGAAGAAAACGTCAAAAAGCTCTTTTTATCTTAATAATTCTGCAGTAACGATGCCCACTCCTTGCGGCAAAAAATGTAAAGCACTTGTCTTTAGAATCCAATACCAACACATAAAACCATGAACAGTTTGATTCTTTGCAATTCACTGCAACGTCTATCGTCCAAAGAGATGAAATGCACATGCTACATATGATTCTTCTCCGAGTATTGAAAAACTCGTGTTTCCGCACCCCTGAATTTGGATGTATTCTTTTCACAACTCAAAATATTTTTATATGAAAGAAAACACGATAATAAAAAAATTAAAATTAAATTTTTGTGAGAAAAATATTGTAACAAAAATTTGGCCTAAATGATACTTGATTAGTTTTTCCGACAGCTAAAACTACTGTAGAAAAATTTTACGACAACAAAAGGGTTGGCTAAATGATACTTGGATCCGAGTTCGGTCTCACGAGTACCATATGGTACTGTTTTGGCCCATAGTTGAGGGTGGGATAATGCCCTGTGCTTTATATCACAATCTTATGCAAAATGATGCCAAGGGACCACAAGCAAAATCAATAGGAGTTGTCATTATTTTCCTCCTCGGTATCTGGAAAGGTACTAATCCAACGTATGTTGTTTGATGCCACTCATAATCATCTTGATTAGTTTACATTTAAGTACATATTTACTGGCGAAAACAACTTTGGCAGCTTACGCTATGAGTCATTAAGGGCTCGTTTATTTCTTACGTTCAAATCATGATTATTAATTCTGTTACGGTATTTTACTTTCATACAAAATTTAAATTTTAAACTCTAAAATTAACCATCATAATTTTAATACATGTACCAAACGGGCCCTAAGAAAAGGAATCGTTTATTTTTATTTTCTCTTTTATTTTCAATAATAGAAGTCATTAAGCAAAAATAAATAAATAAAGTAAACAAACGAACAAACAAAACAAAAAAACAAACTGGCAAAACACACACCATCATGCAAGGCAGTGACTATAGAAGGTTCAACTTTCAAGCCCATTGTAATTTTAAATTCTCATGATCGCTAAAATACTAATGAGCAACCTTGGTTCTGTACACAAATGAGCAAGCTAATACAAAATAAAAGAGGGGTTGTTTACTTTATGGTATAACATATCAAATACAGCAAAGAAAAAGGGTCAAAATTCTCAGCCTAAAAAGCACTCTACTACTACTAGGTTAGAGAGATGGATCATTAGGGTTATGCGGGAACTCCACCCTAATAGAGTTTCATGGAGGAAGAAAATGAAAGGAAATTGAATACAATGAAAGAATCGTCCTTGCTAGAATTCTGACCAACCCGCCATGGTTACCACAAGACCAAGCACATCTCTTTTATTTGTGGCAATAAACGACACCTAGTAGCTAATGACCAAATCTAGTAGTGGTTCGCCTTTGCCCGGTTCTGCAAATTCAGATTTCGAAAATGAGAGTACCTCTAAGGAAAAAAGTAATTCAATTTCTCATCATCATGCAGGGTTGCGCATCCGTTAACAAGACCAGTTTGAGTTCCAAAAATACGATTTCCTAACCTCCACCAGAAGGAACTTCAGTGGATGCCGTTAGAGTTGCATGTGGGCCTGTTTCATCAGATACTACATCACCCCCCGCTTTACCACCATGTGACGGTTCTTCTAAACTTTGATCAGGAAAAAGTTCAGACTGCAAGGATGGAGCAATGTTATTCGCATGTAACCATGTCAGCTCCCACAAACTATCTCCACCTAAAGCATTTTTATGCGCAAGCACTCCCGTAGTCTTCATAACAAGCAAGGTGTTCTTAAGCAGCTCAGGTATTAGCTTCTGAAGCTTCTCACTTTTCCTACCTCTCACTTTCACCTTTATATAATTTTCCATTCGGCTAAGAACACCCAGCCACAATTTGCCGAAAGTTGTTAACTGAGATAGATCCGGAAGCAACTGCAGAAACACCTTTGTCAAAAGCTTCATAGCAAGAACAAGCGTTCCTTCCATATTTCGATACTCTTTAAGGGACTGCCCTTGTACGATTTCAAGCAAGTCATCAAGCAGCGTAAAGATCCCCATATCAAAGCACTGTAACCACAAACCATGAGGAAAGTGTATCCCGTCCACTCCTTTCAAGCACTTTTGCAACGACAACAAAGCGTGATTTCGGACCTCTTCTCTCGGGTCCAAACTAACTTTTCTTAATCCCTGAACAACCCGAAACCACATTTCCCCAACATCCTGACACATCCTTAAAGCTTCCTCCTCTCCCATTGTATCCTTAGCCTCACAGGCCCACTGCGCTAAACAATTAATAGAACCCACCATTAGATCAACTGCAACAACAGAGCGCTCCGCCTGTCCAACTCGGGACTCAGCAAACTGCCTTGATGCATCCACACAAAGCACATAATTGGCTGACAACAAGTGGGCCCCATCTGACATAATGAACAAGAGAGTGTCAAACCCAGCATCTGAAGCTTCTGGATGTCGAGCAGTGATGGAAAGAAGGGATGTAATAGTGCGCCACCCTAACTGGGATCTGATGTGAGGGGCATTTGCTTTTACAAGGCGGCTGACTTCCTGTGTAATTTGTTCACAGTATGCATCAGCAACCCGGGCATCAAGTTTTAAGACAAGTTGCAATGACCTCAAAAGTTCATCGGCAATGTTCTCTTTGTAAGGAAGCAGCCGCTGACATATACGGAGAAGCCCGAAAACAGCCTTCTCGACCAGGGCACAAGGCATGACAGTTGACTGAACAATGCCGGCAATGTGCTCATACACACACTGCCAAAGAAGCACGATCCTGTCCCTGTTATTAAGGGTAATTGCAATTAGCAACTCCAGGCAGAAAACTGCACTGTCTTCATCGTCGAGAGAGCTGCCCACTTTTTGAGGTCGCCCTGCAGCCCATATCAGTGCTCGTACAAGCTGCAATAGAGATTCAGCTTGCAGAAACTTACTCTCAGTAAATATACTGTCAATGTGGCACTGCTGAATTGTCTGAAGGGTGCGCTGACGAGCAGCTAGTTCTTCCTCAGTAGGTTGTATCCTTGGCTCCTCTGTGTCAAGGGACAAAAGCTGACTAAATCGCCCCATCAATCCATAGGATCTCTTTGGAGTAGTCACGGAAGACATATTAGAAGAGGATAGAGAATTTTTAAGAGGTTTTCCATGCCCATTATCAGTGGGAAGCTCTGGCTCATCAGCTGCATCACTGGCCACACGTGCTGGAAGAAGACCTAGCTTGTGCAACCTTAAGATGCAATCAAAAATATTTCTCCAACCTGCTCGAATGTAATCACCATAACTGTTGGAAATTGTGAAAACTGTCACAGTTGCCATTCTAGCTTTGGTATCATCACCGAAGGCCAGCACAGATTCCTCAAGAGATGATGGGTTCAGCA